TGTTTTCCATATTCCTTACACAATTAAACATTTTACATATTACAGATGAAAAACAAGCTGTCCCAAGAACCCACATACATTCACACCCAAGCAACTTGTTATAAATTAACAGAGTGTAAGCAAGCAGGATATTTTTCTCAGCCAGTTCTTTTGCTTGCAGGCTGCATTTTGTGGTTAAAGAAAGGATCGATCACTTTATTATTTATCTCAAAAGGTAATCTTATAAGAAATCTTAAAAGAATCACAAATCTAAACTTTTATATATGAAAACCAGTCAACTCTACTTTAAATCCTCGGGGTGCATAACCACTCATCACCAGTTTTTTATATCAGGAAGCTGAAGGCAGAAATGGGTACAAGGAATTAATTATCACTCTTTTTTTAAGGCTTTATTTATTTATTATGTATACAGTTTTCTGCTTGTATGTGTGCCTAAAGGCCAGAAGAGGACACCAGATCTCATTACAGATGGTTGTGAGCCACCATGTGATTGCTGGGACTTGAACTTAGGTCCTCTGGAAGAACAGCCAGTGCTCTTAACTGCTGAGCCATCTCTCCAGCCCTAATCATCATTCAAGATCACCAACCCCATCCTAGTAAGAAAATACATCGGCCATCAACAACCAAGCTATCATTGTTTTTGTTTCTTGACCTCAACAAGTCCCTCACTAACTATATGTGCCTTTCTTAACTTTAAATTGTTCCCCCAAATTTTCTGCCTCAAAGCCATTACCAAAAACAGCTTAACCTAACTGTACTAACAATTTTGCATGCCTAAATTCTTTCTAAGGATGGGGGTTGAATCATTAATCTGCTCCATCAGCAATGCCTGGAAAAAGTCAATCACTGTTATAAAGTACCAGTAACACCGCCCAGTGAGGGGATGGAAATGCTTGAGAGTTTCCATACAGCCCATAGATTATGAGAGATGTCGTGACCGTGGAGGCACCAATCAGACTATGCTCAATAACAGCAGGAGGTCTTCAGGACACATAGTCCTCATGGCATTGCCTCTCCAAGGCTCACGCAGATGTGACTTTGCCAATCACCCAGCCTTGTTTCATGAGTTCCAATGCTGCCTGTTGGTCCCCTTACATGGCCCCTGACAATAACCCAGCTCCATTTCAGGTCTAAGCTCTTGACTTCCTTGTCCCTACTACTCGAGAAGTTACTGCTGTAAGATCTTGTTATCACAAGCTGACTGGCCAACTCTAGGCACTATGCCTTTCCACCATGGTGGACTGTAATTCTCTGAACCATGAGTCCAGATAAATCCTTCCTCCCTGAACTTCTGTTGGGATTTGGTCACCTAGATGAAGATAGTAACTTCTATACACAGGCTTTCCCACTCCAACCTCTTGCCTTGCTTGGTAGTGTCTCAAATCAGGTGTTCATGTAGGTCTCATCACACTGTTTCTTTTCATAAGACCTCCTTGGTCTCTTGTTGGTCCAGGTTGGCACTGTCCATCAGAAGCATCCTGCTGTGTGGGTTTTCAGCATCACCTCCTGCCCCTGCCAAGGTGATAGAACCTAGGCAGTGGGTGTGGAGTATCACAGAACAGGGGTCAGAGGAGGCCAGGACAGAAATCAATAATTCTAAGATGCAAAAATGGCTAACCTAATTAGTGTCAGTGTTGAGAATGGAATCTGGATCTCTTGGTTCCTTTCCAGGATTCACTATACTATGCTGCATAGCATAATGTCTGGAAGGCTCCCCCCTGTCCACCAAGGCTGAACAACACCACTGGTAGCAGTGACTGCTGATCTCCTTCTAATGCTATATGTGCTGGGGAGACCTCTGTGCAGTTGCGGGTACCAGACCTGGAAACACTGTCTCAATTTCCATTCTTACAAGTGTTCACAGGAGAGAAGAACAAGCTCCAAGAGGCCACTGTGGAGATGGAAGGGCGGATAGTGACAACCCGGGCTTGTGCACAGGGAGCTGTGTCATCTGTTCCTTAAACAAACCAGCAACACAGACTGGAATCACGCCCACCCCTGACATTTGAGAAGCCCAAAGCAAATGCAGTGAAGGAGGCCCACGCGCCATGTGTCTAAATATTTGAACATTATAAATCAAACTAATAAACTTCGGAATAAGGTTTGTTCTTCCCTCCTGCCTTGACAAATATACAGTTATATGAACCACAAAGGCCAGGCTTTGATTTCACATCTTGTGGGGTCCATTCACTTGTGAATATGGAACTCAGAGGGGTAGGAGAAATGAAGCAAACTCCCTCTTTTCTCCTTTCCCACCCTGGGAACTTAAATTGGGCAAAGGAACGCCCCAATTTGGCTGTCTAGCCTCTATCTGAGTCTTTATAGACCAGAGAAGAGGCCACGTAGGGAAATAGCCAAATAAAATTGTGTGTGTGTGTGTGTGTGTGTGTGTGTGTGTGTGTGTGGTGTGCAATCACCAACATGGATTTTTACAGGTTCTGGGGACTGAACTCAGGAGCTCCTTCCTAAAAGGCAAGCACATCACAGACTGAGCCATCTCCCCAGCTATTTCCCCAGGAACTTCCCTGAACCCTGTTACCCAGAGGGTAGAGCAAAAAGGGGGTGGGGACTGTGAGAGACACCTCATGAGCCTGCAGCCACTTGATCTGCAACTGGCCCAGGGCAGAGCCACTGCAGGTATCCTGGAGTCCTGTTACCCACAAATCAACATCAAAGAAATCATTTTCATTTACCCAAAAAGTCACCTCATATCCAAGGACCTCAGGGACTGCCTCCCATATACCAAACACCAGCAGGGCCAAGACTTGGTCCAGGTCCTCCTAACTCCTGAATCCCTGGTGAGTCCCTCCTCTCTGCTATCCCCATTGGCATTCTCTACTGGGGACAAGATGCTGGTGCTCTCTTCACCCTCATCAGAATCTTGTATGCCCTTTGCTTCCTTCCTCCTTTGATCACAGGCTTCCTGGTACACCCCACGACTAACTTTCCTAAAACAAAAGCTGTGACCTTTCTTCTTCATCCCACAGTCCTGGGGACTATGCCACATACCACTGCTCAGCCCCTGACACCTGTACTCTGATCTCAGTCAAATTGGACTTCAGTGTGTAATCAGGTCCTTCTCTTTCTCTCCAGTTCTCCTTCCCACCCCAGCACTCCCTGAAGCCTCCCTAAGCCCATACCCACCCACCTCCTTACCTGGGCTCCTAAGGCATCTGCCCATTTTCTGACCCCCAGCAATAAAGTGAACGTTCAGTCAATTATCTCCCTAGTAACAAGTTGTGCGCACCACGCCTAGGATTGCTGGCCCCTAAGTGGGCCGAATGGGCTCCCTACAGGATGGGAGCCTGCCTTGTTGCTGAGTGGACTTCTCTGAGAGACAAGGAGGAATACACTGATGACAACCACCTTCTGGCCCCTCTTGAAAGTCATTGTATCATTTGGTGGGAAAAGTCTCTTCCAGGAGCAGCTGACTGAAGCTGATAGACTCTGGCCCAAGACTTGGCATCCTAATAGCCCTCTGGAGAGGAGAAGGGTTTCACGACCCACCTCGGTAGCCTGGCAAGGTCAAAGTCTTAAAGAGCCGCAAGCAGGGTCTGGTATTTCCAAGATATTAATATAGCTTTATTGGGTGGGTGGAAAGCCAATCCAGGAAAATGATGGAAAACAAGGTATTTTGTGCTTCAATTGTAAAACCGCAAAAGTAAAGAGTGGACTTTCTCCTGGTTGCATAGATGCAAATGACTAACATAAAAGGGTGACCCTCGAAGGAAGCCTGGAAAGTTAGGGCTCCTATCTCACACTCTTCCAGGCCCTGCTTGTTTGTTGTGGGAGGGACCTGCTACCAACCCAGGGCCATGTACTAGTCACACAGGTTTCTGGCTTCCGACAGGGGAGCAGAGGGGCTCTAGTGACATTCCAGATGGCACAAGTGATGTGTGATGACGAGTGACCTGGTCAATCAAGCCCTTGGCTTCTAGTCCCAGGTGGCTTTTGCCTTCCTTGTCCCTGTGTGCAGCATCCCTTTGTCTTCTGCACACACACACACACACACACACACTGGAATATACTGCAGACCACTGAAGAGCCACTTCTTTCTATGAGGTTCTGAGCTCAAACAAGTCCGCTGAGGCCTCTCTGCCATCCCATTAGCCGACATACAAGGAGCAGTCAGGTGGCAGATGTGGCGCCTAGCTAACCATCTACTTGATAATCTTCATACTGCCGCTGTCCACATTCGTAACACAGTCCACCCGGAGTGCAAACAGGGTTGAGTAGGGAGGGGTATGTCGGGTATTGAAGGTCGCACCTCAAGTACTTCTGTAGCCAGTTGGAAAGAGAAAGCTTCATCCCCTTAAAAACCACATCAACATGACTTAAGAGACAGAATGAGGCACAGGTGGTTAATGGGGCAACAGGCTCAAATCAGACCCACTGGCACTACCCGCAGTTCTTTTCCCTTAACATCCCGGAGTCTCAGTCTCCCCATTTGAGAGCTAAGTCAAAGCTGTCCGCAGATGCCCACCCAGCTAGAGTCCTGTGATGGTGTGGCAGTTGGTCTGACTTGGTGGCTGCTGCTAGGATCAAGAACCCAAGCCTTTGGTGGGTGGAGTGCAGCCGGTTTTCCCTGCCCACTCCAGCAGCGAACTGCTGACAGTGGCAAAGCCACGTTGCCATGCTAGGAGAGGTCTGGGGGATGGGGGGAGTGGAGATGGGACGGGACACAACTCTCTTGGCTTTGGTCTTGATGGAAAGAAAAAAAAATCAATGTTTGGATTTGATTTCGTCTGAGGCTTTCTGAGAGCGCCTGGCTGGGCTCAGCCCTGCACAGGGAGTGAGAATATGGGGTCTTTAGGACCCGGACAGGCTCGGACCAGCGGGGCCTGGAGGCCAACCTGCCGTGGCTTGAATGGGAGGCGGGCGGCGGCGCCGAGAGGCTAGTCGAATAGCTCTGTGGTCGCCAGGCAACCGCCCTGACGCAATGCAAAAGAACGTCCTTTCAAAAAAGAACCGTGAGGAGAATTTGCAGTGTTTCTGAGCTCGGGAGGCGGGAGCCAGAAACCGAGAGCGCCAAGGGCAGGCGCGGGCTGGCTGCGGGGTCCTCGACAGCTCCGGCGACGCGGCTGGGGCGCAAGAGGTGGGTTTGCGGCGGTGCGGGTTGGCCAGGCGCTCGGGCGCCCAGGTCTTCAGGGCGGGCAGTGGGGGGCTCTGGATCCCATAACCCTGTAGTGGAGACACCGCCATCAGACAGCGTGGTCCCTTCCATTTGCTGCTGGGGTCTCAGACCTGTTTGGAAGGCGTGGAGGAGTCAAATGTGGACTCCATGCCTCGGGTCCTAGTTCTCTGTTGACCCTTGTAGGGCTATGATTCCCGGTGGGGATTTGCGAGTCTATAACCTGAGAGGGAGGAACCTCTTGGGACTCAGGTCCAGGTCTACTTAACTGAGCTAGTGACCCCCATACCTACACTTCTAAGGAAGATGAGAGTTCTGGCCTCAAGGGTTCAATCCCCAACTCTGAAGTGACCCAGGCTATTTGGCTCTGTGGTGCCCCAAGAGTGAAGGCAGGGAAACCAGAGGGGACTGCACACCCAAATGCTGCTCAGGGAAGGAGCAGGTCAGCCATAAAGCTGAGCACCTCGATGGCCAGAAAGAACGAGGGGTTATGATGGTAGGCGGGGGGGGGGGGGGGGCAGCTTTCTCTCAGATGGCTTCTGTATGCATCAGTTCTGTTGAGATAAACCCTGGGAACATCTGGAAAATGGATTGTCTCTAGGCTGGTGTCCCCAGCGTCTGTCTTACACTCGCAGCAGGTTCTGTCTACCGCCATCCCTCCCACCATTGGACAATCATTCCTGGAGAATCCTGGGTGAGAACAGGTTCTTGCAGGGAATGCTCAGGAGATGCGGCCCCCACAGTCAGTTTCCTTCCACACCCAAGAGTTCTCTTCTCTCTCCTTCCCTCCTCTCTTCTTGCTCCCCCCCCCCCCCCATCATTCTCTCTCCTTCCTCTTTTCTCTCTCCTCCTCTCTCCTCTCCTACCAGGCTTGGGATTCACTGGTCAAAGTCCTGGCCAAGCCAAGGTAACCAAGGTACCTGTTAGCCTGTCCTCATCCTTGGGATGGGGGATCCTGCCAGAGTGGTTTTCAAGAGCTTGGCAAATCAACATACTCTATCTACTTCCAGCGACAGAGTGACCGTGCTTCTTTCCTACTGACCTCACTGCTGAGATCCCTTTGCATCCTTGGTCACTTGAACCTTACAATTACCCTTTGTGAGTCTCTGTTTGGAGTCTGAGAAGCCAAGGGAACTTGGAGCAGCTTGTGTGGCTTTGGAAGTTGCAGAGACATCCCTGTGCCTAACTCCCTGCGCTCCAGAAATGCTTGCAGGAGAAGGTTGCTTCAGGAGGCCAGGGAATCCACCCTGGCCCAGAGACAGGAAGAAATAATTCACACCCACATGAAATCACAGTCACGGGGTGCTTGTCTCATGGCCTGAGAAAGTCCCCTGCATGTGCATAAAGAAAGACCTGACTTTGTTACCCAGCACTGAATAAACTGGGCTTAGTAGCCCATGCCTGTAATCCCAGCACCTGGGAGTTGGAGGCATGACGATTAAAAGTTTGAGATCATTCTTGGCTACCTAGCAAGTTTGAGCTACATCTCCGAGGAGGAAGGAGAACAAAAAAGCCAGAATCTCATACCCAAATATACGTTGGGTCAGTGAGGAAGACAGATCCCTTATGAAAGAGACCTAGAAGGATGAGACTGGCTGAGCTCCTAGGAAACAAGGACAGTCAGTGGGCCAGAGTTTAGCAGGAAGTGGCAGATGAGCCTTGCCAATTAGTCACCTGTAACCTCTGAGCTCCATAAAAGCTGGGTTGGCAGGATCTGAGGACCTGGGCCAGAATTCCTGCCCCTTAAGGACCAATTCTCTCCCTAGTAACAGCTACCACTTCTCTCTTGAGTAGAGAGCAAAGGAAAGGAGAGGGAGGGGGACACCAGGGGTCAGAGGTTGTATTACTCTATCCCCACCTTTCCTATCCTGTCCCCACCAGTCTTCCCAAGCACTACACTCCTCTCTATCATACCACCATGCCATATCACCTGGGGGCAGCTCTGTGGATAGCAGCCCTGAGTCCCATCGGCATGAGGAAGAGGGCCCTGTTCTCAAAGCTCCCCTGCATCAGGTCCTCATCACACCTCAGCCTCTTGAAGTCGCCCCTGGCATATGGTAACTGCCTTCATGGACACATTTCCAGAGTTACCACCCAATGGGACAGGCTTCTGTTTCTCACCTCAGAGTGGGAGACCGAGCCCTCCTTCCTCACTGGGGCTACGAATTCTTTTCAGGATACCCTAATCAAATGTGGGAGCGGGTTGGTGGTGGATCCCCAGCACCCCCTTACAGGGTATGCTACGTGGGACCTGGAGGGCAAACCTGGGTCAGATCTCATTTTCCAGGTTGAAGGGCAAGACTTGCGTGAGTTCATGCTTCGGTCTATGCAGTGGCCACTGTCCCAATTCTTAAAGGCTGGCCTGTATTTCCTCATTCCAAGAAGTCAGTAGAGCCTCTGAGCAGCGCCTGGGGACAGACCAATGGCAGCTGGAAGGAAGGTGGTCGTAGAAGCCTTGAGGAGGTTTTGATGAGGACCTGTATGTCCAGGAGACCACCTGGGAGCCTGGCTTTCTCTTATCTACCAAGTCAGCAGTGGCATCAAATGCATGTTCCCTTGAGCTTACACAGGTGCTGAACCCTGGGGACACAAGGCAGTCAAGAGCCTGACCAACCAAGTAGCCGGAAAGGCAGATGCTCCGGGCTCAGGCGAGGCTATGCTGTCTCCTCATCTGTTTTCTTGATTGGTTGGTAGCAGCTGCTGGAAACATGGCAGAAGGTGGCTGCAAGCCTGTTTTGTTATCTAGTTTGAGTTAAAGCGAACCTGACAGCAAGTTCTGCCCACATGTAGGCATCTTTGGATGTACATACTTCCAAAGAGCTCCAGCACGTCCATGGAGCCTGTCCTGGAGGTTTCCTGATATCCCAGCCATCTGCCTCTTGGCACCCTGGCCACCCCTACTTGGAGCACTCTCTAGAAGCGTTCACCTTCCAAGTCCATCTGTCCCTCCAATTCATTCATCATCCCACCCCTCTGGGATACCTCAGTCTGCAGAAAAGATCAGAGAAAGAACATGTTTGCTTTGCCGGTTGCTGGGTGCTCCTGCTGCCAGCGAGCACAACAGCACACCTGCACTGCTGCCTCTGGAAGGGGTGGGGATTTCCCTCTCAGTGAGCCCTAGGAGGAGGGAGTCTCCCTTTGAATGCACTCGGGGGCAGCTAGCCTGGCGGAACCACCCAGAATGCCTACCTCTCTTCATCTTCAAAGCCTTTTAGGATCAAGATGAGCATCGTGTGGGGGAGTTCTTATAAAGGAGCAAAGACCCCGGTCTAGGCTGCTGAGGAGTAAATGCCGTTTGCATGGAGAAAAGGGTGGTATCCAGTTGGTGCTCTGCCCATTTTAGAACATGCAGACACTCTCCTGAGTGTTAGTGTTTGGGAAGCTGTGTTCCCAGGGGACAGGCCAAGGCCCAGTCGAGGGCACGGGGTGGCAGTCCAGTTTGAGTTGTCACTAGTATTACACACATGCTTTCTCTCCTTTGATCCCCCTAGACCACAGGTTGATTCTCCTATGATCCGGTTTTATGACCCGAAAGTCTGAGGTGTCGATCATCCGCCATAACAGCGGTAGTTGGCGGCCAGTCTCCACCATCTCTGCCTGCCCCATCCCTCACTGTCTGGGATCCCTCTGAAGCACCAGATTCTCTCCTTTTATGGCCAGCAGGTGCAGCGTCTGATGACATAATAAGGGGCAGGGTCACACAACCAACTTTCTCTTCTGCCTTCAGTCACTTAGAACAGAGATTCTCTCCATACCCCAGTGTGAGCACAGCATGTTCCTGCGGGCAGCTGCAGGCCACCCTGGACATTGCCCAACCTAACTTAGATCAGCTATAACCCCACTGCACCCTCCACTGTGTTCCATCCAAACTCAACCAAACCAGACCAGATCCTGAACAGTCAGCCTACTTTTAGGGTAGGAGGTGTGGTACTCAGGTAGACACAACTGTGCACCAGGAATCCGCCTAAGAAATCCTTGCAAATGGTTGGGCCTTGGGAGCTTGCAGAATGACATAGAAAACAAATAGAACAGATTCCCACTTGAACCAGACCGTTGGTTTTGCTTATTTGAAGTTGGAGCCCGTTATCATGGATTTGAATAGGCCTAACTGCCTTGTCTAGGGTTCTGGGGAAAATGCCACTTAGGACGTTTTCTAGAGGGCCACTATGTCCTTAATTGTGAAATGGTACCTGAGCCTTCTGGGAAGTATATGTTGCTCCTGTAGCTAGGATGCACACCCCCAACTGCCTTCTGCTTTTATACAGATTGCTTCAGAGGCTACTCTGTGTGTTGGATTCCTTGAAGCCACTGTGGTCACGTGAGGCAGATGACTGGGACAGTAAGAGACTGACTTATCAGAGGTCCTCCTTCCAGGGAGGACCCTTTCCCTTCTCTTCATTTCTCAGGGCTCCATCCCACCCTATTACCCTGCCTCTCAGGTATCTTCCTCCATATTTGCCAGAGAAGACCTAGCCCAGGGCTACGGAGGGGACATAATGAGGAGTCTGGGTCTCCTCATAGACCCCCCCCCCTTCTTGCAGCAGCCCCATGCTTTCTGCCCTCCTTTCAGGGATGATGTCAATTAGCTGTCTGGATCCTGGGAGCCATGGCCCCTCCCAGACCCATAGGGAAGCACACATCTTTCTTGGCAGTTTTCTCAGCAACTTTTTTCACTGGGCAAAATGAAAGCAAACTTAGGCGTCTTGCAGGAGGCCTGTGGAGCCAGGCCTATCAATTATTCAGCACTGACCTGGCGCTTTGCATTTGCAAAGATCTTTATAAGTACTTTTATAGATTCTTCCCTCATAGTGTCTCAGTGTGACAAAAAGAAAAAAAAGGCTTCGCATTTCTTAGACAATGGAGGCAGGACTCTGCTTAGAGTCCAAAGGTTCAAGTCCAGGTCTAGTCAGCCCCTCAAATGGAGCCATGTGACCCTAGGCCAGTCTTATGACATCTCCGGTTTGGGGTTCCTATGGGGTCTAACGCTGGAGAAGGTTTCTCTAGCCCAGGCCACCGAAAAACGTTATCAACAGCAGCGTAGTTTGAAAATGTTTATGAACGATTGTATTTCAGGTATGCAGAGAGAAGCATTGGATCCTGAGTGGAGGGGCAACTGTTAGCACTGGACACTGCAAACCAAGCCTTTCTGAGTGGAGGTCCCTGCGAGAACACAGGTAAGTGGGTTCTGTTGCCTGTGGCTCCAAAATGTGGTTGCCAGCCCACTGGCTACTATAACCTGAGGAACTGTCCCAGAAGGAATCAGAGGCCAGTGACACACTGTGCTTACTGAGAGCTCGGTGACAGCTCTTGGGCCATGTCTCTCTAGGCTGTGGGCTTGGGGCTGATGCCTTTCTCCTTATCCCCAGGCTGAACCTGCCTCAACTAGTTCTTATTTCCATCTCCCTCAGGAATGCTGGGGATTCTAAGGCGGGGCGGGATATGCCCACGCTGTCACTGGAGCCTCACCTCCCCCAGGGCTTCTATTGGACCTCCTGCCATCTTCTTGTCCCTGCTCCTCCACACACTGGAGGACTCAGGCCTAGCATCAGGACTGCCTCTTGGTCAGTCCCCTACACATAGGCAGAAGTCGGTCCCCACACCATACAAGTTCCAAGAGCCGTGTGGCTTGTCCAGGGTGGCATGATTGGTGTGGCAGAACCGTGTCCCCACAGCCATGCCTGTTTACAGAGGAAGACCCCAGACCAGAGACAGACTCCAGCCTCTTTGGAAGGAAGGTCTGGGTTAGCATGGTGCTCCGTTGCAGGACGGAACTATCCAGGCAGCACCCAGATGGCTTCGTAGTTGCCCTGGGTAGATAGCTTCCTCACTCACATGGACACACATCCAACAAGACAACCATCAACTGTCGTACTACACACAGAGAGTGTAAGGCAACATGATTCACACACACACACACACACACACACACACACACACACAGAGAGAGAGAGAGAGAGAGAGAGAGAGAGAGAGAGAGAGAAAGAGAACAAGACAACCATCCCACCACACACCAATCAAGATAATTTGCACACACACACAGCATTCCACAGTCAGTAAAACAACCACCTCCTACTCACACACACACATCCCAGCACAATTAACCCCCTCCCTGCCTCTGTGGCCAGGGACACCCCGTTTCAGGTGCTCCCAAACAATACTAACTAGAAGCTGGAATAAAAATGGGCCTGGGAAGGGGAAAGATGACTGGCAGAGGGCCAGATCAGCGGGTGTCCCTCCTGCTTCTGTCACCATGGCAACCCCAAGGAGGAGGAAAAGGGCTCTGGGCAGTCAGTGCCCAGCTGGTGTCGTCAACACCAGAAGCGGGGGTGGGGGGGGGTGGGGGGGTGGGCTGTGTCTCCTCCTTTCATCCCCGGCTCGGCAGGGCTGAGGCACATCTGCCAAGCTTGGGTGGTCATATTTACAGACCACACCTTCCAGGTTGGGTGAGCTGGGTAGGAGCGCCCCACCCCCATGTAAGATTAGCATCAGGTTTATGATTAAACCTGGACAGATAAGCCTGCCTGGGCCAGGAAGCCCTGACCTATGACTCTTCCAACACCTGAGAAAGCGGCAGAGCCCACTGAATACCTTGTCCCTCATCATTTCATGTACCCCGTGACTCTACAACAGCTTCATCTTCAGAGAAGGAGCCCAGACCTGATAAGAGATGAGAAGATGTGTGCAGGCTGTCAACTCAGTTCACTTTGTCCTTCACTCTACGCCGTTGGAGACCCCCTCAGAGCACAGCCTATTGGTAGAAGCGGGGGACAGGGGCTGTGGGGGCTGTCTGCCCTAACGTTGATTAGGAGACCAAAGACAATGTCCCTAATCAGGTCACACACTTTCTGAAGGAGTTTGCCGCTTGGTGACGCGCAGGCACACTCAGCAGAGGAGCACCGACTTCCTTGTACACAGTGTGAGCCTCTGCCCACTGGCCAAGCCTGGCTGGGCTCCAGCAGTAGAGTATTGGGCAGCAAGACAATGTTGGGGTATGAAAGCCACACTCGATGAAGACATTCCCTATACCTGCCTTGCTAAGCAAAGTTAGATTCCAAGGGAGCTTGATCCGTGGGGTAGCCAGTTCTTCATTCCAGAAGCTTCCTTAACATGCCTAAGTAACACCTGCTGATGGAAAGTTTTCTATATGGGTGGGACTCAGAAAGGAAATAGCCAGCCCTGTCCAGATAGTATGTTCTAGAAAACAGCACAGCAGCCCCAAGGAATGTGGAGGAAGGCTGTGGGCTGTCACCAAGGTAGCCTACACCTTAAGCTGGTCACCCAGTCCCCAACTCACTTGGCCAACTGTGTAGTCTAGAAGACCTGACCGACCTTCTTTGTTATATACAGGTGGCCTGTAGTCACAGTCAAGGTGGTCCTCCAGGTGGGGGCAGCATCACTGGATAGCACAGAGCTGGGACAGAACTAGCTATCTCCAGGACAGTCGTTTGACACATGATATGTGAGCCCCGTCTTGTTGAGCTACATAACAAGGGAGAGAGCCTAGCCCTTAGCTCCAAGCTCAGCCTTGCTGCCTTGCTGGCATTGTCCTTGTCACAACTACCCAGTATCAACCTTTTCCCTGCCAATTCTCTCTCATCTCTGGGCCTCAATTTCCCCAAATAACGGAATGGTCACACTATGCAGTCACAGGTCCTCGGGCTCATGAAATGCTCTTTCTTCAGGTGCCTGGTTTGGTAGGTATTAGAAGCTTGGCAATGTTAATAAATAGTACCTAGAAGCATGGTTGCTAGGGCGGGATCCAAGATGTACTGTGCAAGATAAGGGGTCACAACTAATGGGGTCCCAGAGGAACATCTAAGGGCACAAAGGAAGGGGCCACTGAGAAGGAGACAACATTTGTACCTCTGGTCTTAGGCCTAAGCAGAAGGATGTTGGGGTGTGGTAGGTATCAGTGGGTGAGGAGTGTCAGAGTATGGCAGACATCAGTGGATGAGGGGTAGCGGGGGATGGAAGGCATCAGTGGTAGTTGGCAGGAGATAGATAGAGAACTCTCAGCTTTCCCCAGTAGGACCCTATTCCCAAGAAGCAATCTCTTCAGCCTTGGGGGACCTTGTAGAATCAGAACGATTGAGGCTCAAATGTATTAACTCTGAGAACTATTTATTATCTTTGATGTTCTGATTGTTCTGAGCTCTGGGCACCTATCTGGTCCTATGTTCTAAATAATGTGCCTCTTTTTCCTGGGTGGCCATCACAGCCCCTTGCCAGTGTCCTGGGCTGGGGTTTTGTGACACAGGTTTCTTCTTGTTGTTGTCTCCAACCTGTAAAATCAACCCAAAGCGCTAGAGTTATGGTACCTCTTCCAGGTGGCAGGAAACGTCTCCAGGCAAAATCAGGAGTTAATAGAGAGACTAGCCTGCTAGTGTGGGACTGTGGCAGCCAGCTATAGGAAGTAAACTGTAGCAGTAGGGGGTTGTCACCTTGCTGAGGTCGCCTAGGGAGGCACATCGCCAAACAGCTGCAGACGTACAGATGTTTGTCCCCAGTTTGGACATCCTGCTGCTGTCTGTTAGGGAAGGCCCAGAGCAAGTCCTCTTCCTCACAATGACCCCCTGGGTGGCAATTCTGTTAGAAGGAGCAGCGGAAGTGTGAAAAGTCACACATGGCAAACTGTCACCCTGTCCTCACCAAGTGTTGCTTGTGGATGAGTGTAAATTAGAAAACAACTCTGAATGCAGACAGACTTGGTAAACAATTTACTAAGAAGAAGGTGACAGCTCACCCTGTTGGTTCTCAACCGTGTGTCTCTAAGGGACAGAAAATGTGGGTGAAGAGAGTGTTTAAGTGTCATGGCATTTCATGGCACTGCTTGGCTCTCGGTTATATTTGTTGCCCATGCAAATGAGCTGTGTGGCCCGCACTCTAGCCAGGGCTCCTGAGTGTAGGCATACAGAAAGCAGCGTGGTTGTAGGGATATTGGACAGTCGTAGGAAGTGAGAGGAGGTGAAGGCCAAGGAAGAAGCACACAGATACGGGGCAGAAACAGAAGTCAGAACCAGCCCCCTGGTTATTTAGGAGAGATCATTGGCTAGGTGGCCTCTGTAGCTCACAACTGTCTTGGGACTGGCACCTAGGTGGCCACATGGGAATTCTCATTGGCTCTTCTTCTCGTGGGCCTCACACACTTCAAATTCAGAGCCCAGGCCTGAGCCTCTGATTGGTCAAGCTCAAGTCCCATGCTCAAATCTAGTCATCAGGTCCTTAGCAGAAAAAGGGGACTTAGGGCTGGTCCTGTGGTCTCAGAGAATGAACACCAAGGGTGTCTGGCCTGATTCTGGTTCTAAACAACGTGGGAGCTCCCTGCAGACAGCAAAGGAGGGGCTCCATTGTGGCATAGAAACAAGCAAACGCCGAATACCAGTAAGCATTCGCCATATTGTTTTCCTTCCTTCTGTAATACGTGCTTCTGCTAGCCAGTTATAACAGTTGAGAATCTAGCTGGAAGTAGCTTAGGTCTCAGAGGAGACTCTGAAGGGCTGCATCATCAAAGCCTAGGTTGTAGGTCCTGGGTAACTGAACAAATGTCTGTAGGAACATGGGTGTCTTTCGCACCACTGAAGAAAATGTCCGTTTCCCCTTAGCGACTGTTAACCTCGTATATGCCTCAGTAAAGGTGGGGCCTCAAAAGCTCCCTCTTTCCATGATGGAATATGAATGAGCCTGGTCTTGTGTAGGTCTTTAGTGGGTGATATCAGTTGCTGAGAGTTCAAGATGGCAACAGTCTTGTCATACCCCGAGAACAGTGTCCCACAACAGTCGGGCTCCCAACAAGGTCTAATCGGGAGCCTCAAACTGTTGTGTGTGCTTGGGGTTACACCCTAGTAAACGCTTTCCCTGTGACACCAAGAGGCCCCCAGTAACTCCAGACTGCTGGCAGTAAGGCCAGGTTGGAGGAAGGAGTGCTCTGATTAGTTCAGTTAAAGTCATGTGACTGCTGCATCTGAGGTGAGAGGGACTGTCCATGCCCTAGGGGTCGGGCTCCTCAGAACAAAGTAGAATGGTCTTTCTGGAGAGCAGAAGGCAGAAGGTGCCAAGTGGAAATGACCCCACACCATACTGAGCGCCAAGGAAGTCCTAACTGTGTCCGTTCAAAGTCTCAGGACATGGCCCAAGCTGAGTCTGGTCCTGATTTGCCTGGGGAAGGGTGGGGGAGGCTGCACACCTGCGGCTGGGCACACAGGTATATCGACATAGTCTCATTCAGGCAGTCAGGGCAGGGCAGGGGTAGGTGTGGCATCTCCTGAGGACAGATAGATGTCCACAGTAGGCCCAGGAGCCGCACCTCTGCTTCTCTGAGCCCATTCAGCAGGCACGCATGTGAGCAAGCACAGGCCACAGAGACAGGGTTGATTACAGAGGGCAGGCAGCCCTGTGCTAATTAGGTTCTGGATTCAGGACCAAAGTGCCAGTTCACGTTATGAGCATCACAGGGTGGTAGAGGAGAGCATTGTGAGGTCCTGGCAGGAGCTGGAGAGGTGGCTCAGCAGATAAGAACACTGGCTGCTCTTCGAGAGGATCCAGGTTCAACTGCCAGCACCTGTATGGTTGCTAATGGCTGTCTGTAGCTCCACTTCCTGGAGATGCAACAACCTCTTCTGGCCTCCTCACGCACGGCACACTCCTCGATGGTGCCTAGACGTATATGCAGACAAAGCACCCATACACATAAAATACAAATAAGTCTTACAAAAAAAGAAGAGCCTGGTATAAATGTGTTGGTCTAAGAAGGACAAGAAGTCCAGACGTTAAGAGATAGCCTAGATACAGATACGGAAGACTTGAGTCCCAGCTCCACCACTGACTAGCTCTGTGACCTTAGGCAGTGGCCACTCCTATCTGGGCCTTCAGTCTCCCCATCTGTATGATTGGGACAATCCCAGGCTTCTATGATGCTCAAATTATTGTCCTGCATTCCTGTGTCAGGACAGGCCTGTTAGAATACTCCTGCTCTGCTTGCTTCTAGTGTTAGCTAATCTTGTGGTGACATCATTGTTTTCCTGTGTACTGACATCACCAGAACACACCACTCAGCCAGCAAAGATTAAAGCAATCTTCCGGAAGGAGAAAGGCCTCAAATATCCCTGAGAACGGAGGTAGAGAAGAGAGGTAGGAAGAAACAGCTGTACAAAGTCATGAGACTTAAGGGGGCAGGAGAGGTGGGAGGGGGTGTTAGATTCTATCTCCCAGAGAGGATATGGTGTGTTCCAGTGGAAAGAGGGGAGTATTAGTCAACACACCCCTGGCCTTCCTCTGCCCAAGAGCCCACTGGGGAAGTGGGCTTGAAGACTTTCCAGATGAACAAATTAGCTCATAATGAGACAAGGTGTTGGCTGACAGATGGAACTGTACCCACCCACCTCCTCCTCCAACAGCCTAGGAATTAGCTCACAGCTGGCAAAGCATCCTGTGCTATCCTGGAAACCAGGGAGCATGTTTGAACAGCAGTCATGTATGCAGAGTTGGCCCCTTGGCCCACACATCCTTTCTTCAGGAAAGCTGGCAACACCTGCAAGGCTTGTCCTTGCTATTCTTGGGGCATCTGCCATGTGGGGCATCCCTGAGCCTGGTGGGATTCTGGGATTGTCTTCTTTCTCCTGATCCCCTGGTCCCAAGTCTGAGGATGCCCTTTGGCTTTCTGCTTCGCTATGTGCTTATCGCTCTAGGAGAATCTAGGTTAGGTGAGACACCTGATGCCCAGCATATCAGAGGGCTCTTCCTGAGCCCAGGCTCTAGAATACCCCACTATATCAGGAAAGACAGAAGGGCCCTGCTGCCATTCTGCCCACCCAAGAAGCTGCCTCAGGGATGGCACCTGTTGCAAACACCCATTCAACACCTTGCCTCCAGCTCAGAATGAAGTTAGGCCAGCTAAGTGCTCACTAAGTGGGCAGTTGATGGTGGAACTTTCTTCTGGCACCTCCCCAGGCCTGTGTGGGTAACATCCCAGGCCAACTCCTACACCCAGTTCTAGAGGAGGGAAGAAACCCTCTGGGCCTCTTCAGATGCCGGGGTCATTTGGTTTCCAAGGAAAGGTGGGGAGGAGCAGAGATCATTCAGGTCACCCAAAAGGTCCAGGGAGGGCCCACAGATGACAAGCCGGTGTGGGAATGGGGCGATGGGACTGTGAATGTGGATCAGCCATATGTTCCATCCCCTCGGTGGCCTTTCTAGTTTCGTCCAGGCTTCCTGTATTTTAGGTACAGTGCTAACAGCCATTACCTTGCTTGACTTCAGATCCCCTCAGTGACCTGTACATTTAACAGAGACCTTCTCTTCGTTTCTACTCGGCAGCCATCATCCTGAAAGGCTTAGGAACTCTTTTCTTGTTCTTTTTAAAACCAAGAGCCCAGTGTTTGCATTTTGCACTGAGCCCAGCCTGCAGATTATGCAAGTTCTGGCTGTACCAACATCTCAGAAGAGGATGGAGAGGCTTGGGATGGTCTTGAAACCATGGGTCCAGAGCACAGACCTGACAACTGCCTTCCTGCTCTGAACCGGGTAGAAGGAAACTGACCGTGTTCCCAGGTCCCAGCTGGCAGCTGCCTATAACCAGCTCATGAAAGCACCTCGCCTTTCCCATCTCTGGGTTCTCCATGTTGTAGTTCCTGTCCTACTGTTGGCTTCCTGGATGAGACCAAGGCTGGAGGCAGCCAGAGGATAGCCAGCACTTCCCAGACGCCATGAAGGCAGCACCCTGGGGCTGTCGTCTCACTGAGCTCTTGTTCAGGCCTTCTCTGAGTCTATGTAGAAACAGTAATTAAAACAGGACCACACAGTGAGACTCAGGAGGAGACCCTGCAGAGTGCCCCCCACCACTGCAGAGAAGCATGTAGGAGTAGGAAGCCACCCCCCCCCCCAGTATTGTCCCTCTCAGGACTCAGTTCGGAGGGTGCTGCTCACCAGCCTGTCTAAACGGGACTTTCTCCAAAAAGCTCTGCTGGGTGTAACGAGAGCTCCCTTGTCTGGGGAAGGAAGCTTTCTAGGGTTCAGCTGGTCCCAGGTGTACTCAGAATCAAAGTTGGCACCTCGGCACCAAAAGCAGACAGCAGGCGCCTGGGAGGGCCCCAGGAAGCCACTCCCAAGTTTTCCTGTGTGGAGAGATCTGAAGAAGGTGACCGTGAGAATCTGGAGAGGCAGAATATCGAGTTGCTGTCTCCCAGCTAACAGTCAGAGGGCATATGGGAGGAGATGGGTAGTTCCAACTAACCCTTGTTACAGAAAGCCAGACTGAGGCTCAGCTAGCCTGATAGCCTGCAGCTAGGGGCAGCATCTCTAAAGGTTTTCAAGATTCTAAGAAGCTGAGTGGTTGCCAAGGGAGCCCCATGGCCCACAAAATGGGCTTCGAATCCCTAGGAGGGGTCAAGAACCATCACCTGTTCAGAGAAGGCAAGAAATGAGACTGGGTTTCCCTGATATGTGGGGTGGAATGTTCTCATCCCCTAATGATGCCCCAGTGAGGGTCAGAGCCTGAGGAGGGTGGTCCTTGGTGCTCTGGTCAGCTCTTCTGCAGCCTAGGCTTGTACGAGTGGCCTTGAGCAGAAAGCTCTCTTCTCACCTTCCTGAGTATCTCTGTGTCCATCAGAAGGACCATGTCCCCTCAATGGCCCAGCCTACCAGATTGCTCCCACACCTCCCCCATCTTAAATTTTTATCTCTGTCTACCCAGTTCCTATTATTGCAATTAAGGTAGTATCATCCGAATTCCTGGATTAATTTTTCTTTGAGCGGGAATATATATATTCTTATACTGGTTCTATTCATAATCACTAAAGTGCAGAAACAGTTTCATGCATTTCAACAGGTAGAGAGACAAATTGTATTCCATCCATTCACTAAGAAATGGAGCAGAATGAAATACTGATAAACACAGGCACATCTCAAGTGTGCTACACTAACCGCAAGAAGGCCGAGCTTATACGGTGTAATGATGGAGCATGCTCAGGAAGAAAATGTATGGAAATAGAAAGCAGATCATCATCGGGGATTAGGAGGGTGGGGATCCTGCCTATGCAAAGGCCGCATGACTGATTTGTGTCACCATGAAGTCAGGAGTTTCCAAAGACACACAAAGTCAATAAGCATTTCTTTCTCCTCCTCCTTTCCCACACAAGGACAGCATGTGCCCCAAGAGGCAGAGCCTATAGCTATTCCTCTGAACCTTCACTTGGATGCGGTCCCACCTTGATTCATTCGTGTTCAGAGCTCAGCAGAGATATTTCAAACCCAAGTTCAAGTTATGCGCTTTGTCCTCCGATCTGCCCTTGTCCGGATCTCCTTAGACACGAGGCTGGGAGGCTCGGGTCTGTTTCTCGCTCAGCTACTCCTCCTTTGGTGTGATAGGCTAAGAGTCTTGGCTGACAACCTTCACTAGAGGTGGTCAGCTCAGAGCACAATTGGATCCCTTGCAAGGTGGTGCTGCCCTGTGGGCATTCCAGGTAAATGTGAGAAACATCTTTCCAAAAGAGTGAGTCACGAGTCTCCTTCAGATTCACAGCCCAGCTCTGGCCGCCAGCTTCTTTCCTTGCCCAGGTTGCCGGTTTATTCGCTTCCTCTAAAGAGGTGAGGTCAGGTGTTGTTGTTGGAGCCGGAAGCTGTGTGTGGATGGAAGGTGGGGCTGGGTGGGTGGGGGTGGCTCAAGGCCAGTAGACACCTGTCCTGAGTCTGTGCAGAACCCCACTTGGCCCATCAGCTGGCTCTAAGGACCTGCCCAGAGAGACCTGTCCTGAGAGTCGGACCAACTGGCCTTGTCCCCCTATGTCTTGCTGAGGGATCTATCTTGGTGAGTCACTTGGCCTCTTAGAGACTAGGGTTCTTCCCCTGTGTGTTGGGTGTTAAAATCAAGCCTCTAAACTCCCTGCAGGGACGTCCATGGCCTCAGAGAGGTAGAATGGTTTTACAAACAGTAAAGCTCAGCCCGGTTCTATCAATTGCTTTGCATGAAGTCTGTGAAATTGCCTCATTTCTTGCCAAAGAACTGGCAAGTAGAAACCCTGTCCCTGGACCTCAGTTTCCCATCTTGCGGGGGTGAGACCAGGGCTAATATGATTCTTTTCCTTCCTGCAGGCTCATGTCTCCCCTTCCCCCCCCCCCACACCCAAAGCGCATTCCCATCACCTCCGACCTGCACACTTCCGGCAAGCATAGCTAGATCTCGGAGGAGGCCGCCCCAGACATTCCTGCTGATGCCTGTCTGATCCTGCCTTCTGTGAAGCATGGCCCCCACGGGATTACGGGACAAATCATAGACCCTGAGCCACACCTGCTCGGAGAGGCGCACTTCACAGCCTCCCTTGGCTCCAGCTGCTGCCAAGCCTCGGGACTCCCATCCCCGCAATGCCTTCAGGAGCCATGGCCACCACTGTATGAGGTCCTTCCTGAGCAGGACTTGACCTTGCTACCCAGCAAGGCTCTGGAGTGACCTCCACTGCTTCCCATGCCTGGCAACCAGGGCAGACTAGAGAATGTCTGTGCCACGGATCCAGGTGGAAGAAGTGGGTGAGAAAGACAGGCTGGCAGGAGCAGCCGCACCTCCCGATGACCACCTACTCAGCCTGAAGGCCCTCACTGAGAAACTGAGGCTAGAGACCCGAAGACCCTCCTACCTGGAATGGCAGGCCAGGCTAGAGGAGCAGACGTGGCCTTTCCCAAAGTCAGCTGCCCCACAAGAGGCAGGCTTGGAACAGGGAGCCTGTGGAGATGGAGTGCCATCAGTCCCTCTGAGGGAATCCAGAGAGCTGCTCCCACTTCCCAGGAGCGCCAGCAGGGGCGACGGACCTCTGACCACAGGCAAGCTGGAAGGCTTCCGGAGTATCGATGAGGCCATAACCTGGGTCAGAAAGGAACTGGTGAGTGGCTGGCTGCCCCACGAGAGGCCCACACGGAAAGTGGGCCATGCTTGTAACCTCTCTCCATCTTTCTGTCTGACTTTGCCTATGTGATGTTTGTCCTTCCATCTCTGCCTGTTTCCCCTTTGCACATCTGTCTTCCTATTGGACAAAGGGTAAATCCTATTTCTCAGTGGATGCATGTGGCCTGAGTCAGTCGGCCCCTTGTTACCCGCAAGGATCTGAGGCCACAGTAGGGTGTTCCTACCCTTTTCCCACCAGGATCAGACTCTCCTGCTCTTATTCCTGGACAGGCAGGGGATTCTCAGAGTTTGCCTGTACTGACTTCTCTAAGAAACCCTCTCCCTATGCACCACACTTATCTACAGGTTGGGGACCACCACTCACTCAGCAAACAAGCAGCCTCTTTTCCTGGGGTGGGAGTTGACACTAGATGGTAGGTCCCCCAGGTGAGGTGAGCGACTTTGGGAAGGGCTCTCAGTCTGGGGGTCATAGTTGTAAGTACTGGGGCTCAGCATGGGAAGTGCCGTTCGATAATTTGAGGTGTTTAAGAGCTGCCAGAAGGGGACACATGACTGACCACACTTTGAGCGAAGGCTTTGGCAAAGGATGTTAAGAGACTGCCCAGAAGTCAGGGTGGTTAGGCCTTCCAGATGGAACTAGTGAGCAAAGACAGAAGATGCTGAGTGGCACAGCAGCTGGATCCTTTTACTGCCCACAGAGGTCCCCATCAAGAACCATGAAAAACCTGGGAAAGGAAGTGGGACATTTCCCCATGCCGCCCTCGGAAAACCACTATGTTCCTCCATCATAGCAGCTTCTTAGCAGACCCAGATCCGAAACAAAGCCTCCCCTAAGCTTTAGCTGCTTCCCTGAATCACTGGCAGGGCCATCTGACTCCAGGGAGCCCCCAGTCAAGGCCAGCTGCCTTCCAGAGCCAGTGGCATCTCTCCAGCCAACAGGAAAGCAGAAGCTGGCCTGACTTGCTTTGCTGAATCCTGCAAGACATCTCTCCACTGGAGCCTGAAATTTCTCATGGGCTGAAATAAAGCACTAGAGCTCAGGGTGGTAGCAGCTCAGGAGGTTGGGCCTTTGATTAATTGGGAGCCTCTCCAGTTGACATTGAGACGGCTCAGAACACCCTCTTCCATTGGGAATGCTGTTAAGGCCGAGCAGCATATGCTTGCTATTGACTTTTGCAGAAGACGGGGCACCTGTGGATTCTTGCTTCGTGACCACAGGGTGCTCATAGGAGCATGAAAGATGAAGGGGTGGGCATGCAGGGCCAGAGACAGACCCTGGAAGCTGCACCCTGAATTCCTGAGGCCAACCTGCTTTGATCTGTTTTTCACAGAGGAACAAAAAAATATTCCTATTAGCCAAGGATGCAATTTGTTGGTTTTGGGTTCATCTGAGAGTTATTGCTTCTCGGAGCAGTGTTGTTTACTGTCTAAATATGTTCACATTCCTTGTGGGCTTCCCTTTGGAGTGAGGAGTAGAGAAAATATCCCTCTGAGTAAATGGAAAACAGTAGGGGCTTCTTTCAAATTTCCTAGACACCCCCATCATCCTTTAGATGACAAAGTACCATGGGGGGGGGTGCTCAGGAAAGACCCCAAAGCCTCAGCCACACCTCAGACCATTGAAATGAATACCTAGGGTATGATGCCGAACTTCTAAAGACTTTAAAGATTGGTTAAAGCAGCACACAGCCTAGCTGAGAACAGTGTCTGAGATCTATGGGGCATACTTTACACTCATTGCCAGGACACATCCAAAACAAGCATGGCATGGTGCCCCACCCAGAGCGTGCTGGCTAAGTGGAGGACGCCAGCCATGTTTAGGGTAACTCAGCCTGTCGGATCCCAGGGCAGGGCAGTCAGAGTCAGGACTACTTTGGTTGCCGACGGCAGTCCTGATGTGGGCACAAGAAAGAAGTGCATTAGTAACGTGCCTTCTATCTGCATAGCATTTTCTATTCTCCTGGGTGACCGGGGTTGGGTAATGATGGTGATGACGATGACTGACATGCCATTGTGCTCAGAGTGTGTCAGGTACTTCACCTGCGTTACTCACGTCTCGTCGTCATGTGACCTCACCTTCCCAAACTCTTTTCTTCAAGAAGACCAGAAAGACTCGGAGAGGAATGCAAGTGGGAATAGGAAAGTTGTCATTTGAAGCCGGGGCCATCAGGTCACCGTGCCAATGCTAGTCTTAGCTGCTGCCACGGAATACGGCACCCTCCATTGGGCAGTCGGTTTTCCTAAAGCTGAGTTCACAGGGATGTCAGCAGTCAACAGAATGTGTGGGTTGGAGGCAGAGAGAGAAACAAGGATGGATGAGACCCCCTGCCTTCCATTCCACCTTAAGAAGGTCCAGGGCACTTGCTGTCGGGTGAGTTCTCTGAAGCTCCTGGAAGTCAGAGAACATAACTAGGAAGTGACAAAGCCGGGGCTCAAGCTCACTTTTGAGAAATGCAGGAGGGTGTCTGGTGAGCTGGCTTGACTAGGGAAGGCCCAGCTGAACATGGTGGAAAAGCCATTTGGTCTCTGAGCTCCAATGTGCATCCAGAGCCCTCTGAGTCTTTTGTAAGGATGAATATTCTGTTCTGTGGGTCAAAGATGGTCATCTGTGACTTGGGACTTCCAATATGGAACAAGGGACACTAAATGTCATATGCCACACCACACCTAGAGTGCCAAGGAATGAAAAGAGGCCCAAGGGGCTGTGAAAAAACTTCAGAGGGCAGATCCACGAGTCTCCAAGCTTGAGCTTCACTCCCGTCCCCCTGCCTTACTGTCCCACAAAGCCAAGTTCAGACAGCAAAGGGGCCTTAGTGAAGAACTCCTCGCTTAGTGAAGAACATCCTCACCCAGCCCAATGAATGATGCAGAAACCCCACCTGATTAAAGATGGCCCTCCTGGAGGCCAGCAGCAGCTCTGGTGCTGATCTCAGGACCCCCACGCTCAACTCTGTCCTGTGAGAAATCAGATACCAACAGAAGCAGTTCATAAGACACTTAGCTGGAAGTAGCCAGACTAGAGATGCTTTCTTCTCTCTGTCTCAGTTAAAACAAAGCTTCATGCTAGTTTTCTAGTCTATCCTGTGCTCACCATCAAGGTACCTTTAAAATCTCACAGTTTTAAGGCCCCAGTGAGGGTAGCTTGTATTACCTTTATTATTATGCTATATTTATTTCAATGCAGAGTTAAGCTTTCTCTGTACCCAGGCACCCCACCTTCTCCCTGCACATCTGTCAGGCTCCTGTGCAAATTTATCCTTTCTCTCATGTGTCTGAGGAGACAGACTGAGACTCTAATGCCAGTCAGTATTCAGGCTCCCCTCCCCTGCCACACACACACTGCCGAACACCCACAATAGATGTTTGTCTGTAGTCCTGGGGATTGAATTTAAAGCCCTTCCTTCCCATGCTAGCCAAGTGCCCTTCCCTGGAACCATATCCCCAGCCCTCCTTCTAGTATGCTTTTCGTGATAAGGTCTTGCAAAGTTGCATAGGTCGGCCTTAAATTCACTCTATAGCCCAGGCAGGTTTTGATCTTACAATCCTCCTGCCTCAATTTCAGAAGTAGATGCAATTTTGGGTCTCTGCCACCAGGCCCTGGTTTTACTGGAAGTTTTGGTCCTAGCAGAGGGCAACCCAAAATGTGCCTCCTGTTTATCTGGTGATCCTGCCGGGAGCTGTTAAAACAGCCAGGGAGACATTTGCCAATGAGCCTGCATTCAAAGGCAGGCTATACAGGGACAGACAGCATTGCTTACCCTTTCTTGCCTCCTCTAGGACCAGTGGAGAGGGGTTGTACGATCTGGACGATCTGGACAGGTTTCTAAAGCAAAGGAGGGGCTAGAGGCTTCCTCTTGATATTCCTTCCTGGCTTTCACTCCAAGATATGAGGTGTTACTGCCAATATCGCCGTTGACCTAGAGTAGGGTAACTTTTCCTTCAGCTAATGTACCAAGGGCATTGGGACACAAACGCTCAAAGCTCATGAGGTCATCTCTGAAGAAGTGTGATTCCTGGACTACCGGCCTGAGTTCCTTCACTCTGACCCCCACACAGGCTGAGCCTTGGGCCACATGGAGGCAGTGATAGCAGGAACAGGGCCTACAACTTAAGCTTAGGGACCTCCCTGGTCTCCCTTCTGATATTCCTTGCTTCCCCTTGGTCCTATCCTGGGTCTCCATTCATTCAATGATTCTCAAACCGTAAATATCATATGACGTCCAACTAAGGCCTGGCATCTGCTTCAGCTAGATCAAGAGACCATGTCGCCACCCAACTGTGACAGGCAGGGAAGTCTCTACGCTTGGTGATTTGGGGCCACCTAACACCCCCAGGCTGGGATCCGACCTCACTATTCTCAGGGTCCTAGAATATAGCCACCATGTTCCTTTGCTGATTCTAGATTGCTCTGGTTATCAGGAGGTCACAAGCCCCAGCTATGCCCCTACAGTGAAGATAGCCAATGAATGGTCCAGGATGAGGTGGTGGCAGTTCTAGAAGAGTGAAATGGGAAGGTCATGGTCCTGGGAGACAGGAATATGTCAGCTTCTTCCAGCTAAGTGTGGGATTCCATTTGCCCTGGTAGCTCCTTTTGGCCAGGGAACCAGCTTCAGGTTCAGCAATAATCAGTTGCCCATCTTCAGTCTTGTCTCTGTGGTCTTGCTTAGCAGTTGCCGTTGGCAGACACCAAGATAAGAAACAGGCCAGGATACCTTCTGCTCTGTCAGTGGCAGAAGGAAGTAAAAGCCTAACGTCCCAGGTCCCTGGGGCACTCTGTGGTGAGAACCTGAGAATCCGTAGCACCTACACTGTCGTCTGTTAGTTTCCTGCAGGTGTTTGATCCCTGCAGGCAGAAGGTGTTTATAGTTGTTAGGAAACAGAATAAGAAAACCTGGCGGGTACTAATCAGGCAGGGCCGGTGTGTCAGAGCTGGAGACCCAGGTTCAGGTGGCACCTGTGGCCTCAGTTTGATCACCA